GCGACGTCCTATCAACGATCTTGTAAACAGGTGTTCGCACTCAGCCGTACGCAAATATCATTTTGCGTATTCAAAGCAGTCCCACGATTTTCAAAGTAACACGACTTATTGCTCGCAAGTATGAGAAATTTGGTCCATGATCGAACGAGTCTCCGATAGCACGTGGATATTTATTGCGTTCCGATAGTTTTTGTATTTTAAACAAGTAATGTAGCATTATTCGCTCTGATACCACCTTGTACTGTTTACTCTTTTAAATGATCTTCCTATAGCTTTTTGAAAGAATCAAATCGTGGAGCAAGTGCTCTTCGAAAAGCACGATCAAATTTTTGCCATATTATTAATGGGTTTTGGACAAACCGTGAGAGTCAACACTCTCAGATAGACTTTTCTTTTAGCNGTCACAAAATGTAGCAAGGAAACACTAAAAGATTTTTGCAATACAGTTTTTGTTGGAAATAACAAAAGTATTTTTGTTTTGCTTTGGGACGTGTTAAAACAAATATACGCAATATGAACCAATTATATAGCGCTCGCAATCAATTCCATGTGCGTGATCGCAGTAACAATTGCATTTTATTATCTCCATTTGAAATGTGTTCTATTGAATCAGAATTTTAAGCATTGACATAGTAGAAAGAGAGAAAACATATAAGTCGAAGAAACTTATGTTGAAAAAAGACTATCGTACAACGTTCGCATTGAACGTGACGTAACCACGCAATTGGCTTCGAATTTTTGTGGTCAAAACACAGAACACATAAGATATTTGTGTTTTAACCACAAAAACTTGACCATTATTGGAAGTAAGTACACATTTGTATAACTATATAATCCATCGATTCGGCACTCATTAATTTGGTTATTCAATTGCCTTAGACAATCGACAAAGATCGAATACTTCAAACAAAACTTGTTGTATTTCAAAGTGCACAAAAGAAACCAAATTTTTACACACAATCAACTGTGAACGTGTCTTCACTGGCCTGTTTCTTCTTGTACTTATGATAAAATAAAACAATATCTGAATGTGTTACATTATATTATTATACGAATTTGTACGTTTAAACCGTGAAAGACATTTAAAACCGTTACTTCTATCATCATATATGTACGTAAAAGAGAACAAAATAAGGTCAATTTTCTCAACACACATATTTACCTCGTGACATGTAAATAGTATTCCAGAAAAACGATCGGTTCTTAGTTTTCGAGGATTTCTCGAAGAGTTAAGATCGCGCAAACGATACGTTTTTGATTTTGTGTACTAGTAGTTCGCAAAACTATTCATATGAGATTTTATGTTTTACCGCCTTCGATTCTATATAGAAAATGGTAAGAATTTTTTTCTTTTTATTAGTTTTTCGAAAGATTCAGCTGTTGTAAAATATGATTTCTTTCTGTGTCTCTAACCGTATCCGAATATCGGACAGTAAATATCATTAACCATAGATTTAGTATTTGAAAAGCGTATTATACTATTTTTGTGATAAAGAAGCAAAGAAGCAATTACTAAACTTTTACGCTTTACTTTTCTTTAAATATGGTAAATACTCCATACCATATTGATTCAATTTCTTAAGATGTTTAGGTGAGATGCATAACTCACGATACAAATTTGACCTTATAAAAAACTTTCTAACAGTACGAGAAGAATGTACTACATACCATATTGATACAATTTCTTAAGATGTTTTGTGTTTGATGGTATACACACATTACAATTTAAAACGCGCTAAAAACTAACGTAAATACTTTTATCAGTCACAATTTCTTCATTTTGTTTGTTAAAATAATATCAAATTTTTTGAAAAACGTGTAGTACTTAGTCTACGTACTTGTGTTCCTTATATGCTGTTTTCTTATTCGTTATTTTATGTGTCGGATTGAAACACCACAATCTTGACAAATATTGTGATGTGTATGTGTGATAGAAGTAAGAGATTATTGATATAAACATACTTATTTGTATCTCGCCCTTCATTTACTCATTTATAAATGCTGTTTTTGTATTTTATACTGAAAAGATCTGTTGTTTTATACTAAAGTTTTGCGTAACAATTTNGTTTTACTGTGTATCTGTAGTTTTTGTTTAACAAGTAAATTAATTTTGTAGATACGCATTACGCAGAGGCTTATATTCTTTGGAGCAATATACTTAATATCTGTCCGCGTAGTTGCATCTTCCACTAATGAAAATTTCTCTCGGACATCGCAGTGTGTACAACCGATAAATTATACTATTTCTTTAGAAAAACAAAACACCTCTCTTACCGTCAATTCTACTGTTGTGCTAAACGTGTCATGTGAACAAAAAGACATACGATTACAAATTGGCCGTTATTGTTTTGTGCATAAAGTATATGTTGATAGTGAAATGTTGTATCATTATATATCACATTGGGAAGTTACTGTATCGCAGGCAAATAGTACCAAAGATCGATTCAAAAGTGTGGAACTAACTCCCATAAAAAGAAGAATCCCTGAATATGCGACATTTATACGTAAGAAACAGCAACAACCTGTGAAATTTGGAAAATATGTTATAACTTCGATGTATAATTGTACTTTAACGGAAGTTGTCACGGTTGACCCGTACATAAATCAAACTGAAACGAAGGAGTAAGTGCACATATAACGCTATTACACATACTATCATTTTTGTACTGCTGCAATTATATTGTACTACAATGACATTTATAGACAACATTTATTTCTACAGAACATTGTCACACTATTATTCGAAAGATATTTATAACTGTAAATATTGCAACATACAGTTTTTTAGTTTATCGCCCGGTGGGCACATGATATAATACTACTAATTTATATAATGTAGTTTAAATTTACTAATTTTCTTTGAAGATTTACTATAAATTAATATTATGGTACATGTAAAAACTAGATAGTTATACGAAAAGCGTCTTATTTTGCTAAATTGTGTTCCATTAACTTTACATTTGTTCTTTTTAAATATAATTGAGAAGATGTTACTACTAAGGTAGTACTTTATGTAATGGAATATGCTTATCTACTGTATTTATGTATCACTGTAATATTTTGTTTATTATATAGATTTCTGATTTTATCGCGTATTCCAAATGAATGGATTTTTCCGTATTGGGAACATCCAGCAACCAAGGTTAAATTTACCATTCAAATTATACATAACCACAGTGATACACCTATTTCGAACATGCCACCTAAATATTGGAATTCGGTAATAAATGCATTCCAAACAACATTTTTCACCACACCTCTAATATCCACACAGTTGGTTGCATTTGTTGTCATACCGAATGTATATAACATATTTATGAGAACAAGGAATAACGTTACCATTACATGCAGCTTAAAAATGAGAAATGACACATACTATGCACGAACTGTTCTTATTAATATGTTCATAAGTCTCAGAAACATGTGGGACAATATCATACCACGGTCGCATGTTTATTACGTGCTTCTGCCTTTAACCTCTACTGTTTACGAAAGTATGATAACTCCTGGATTTGTTTTTTTGAGGTGAGATGCATAACTCACGATACAAATTTGACCTTATAAAAAACTTTCTAACAGTACGAGAAGAATGTACTTTCAGTAACATCTATTTGTATTTTCAGTGAAGTTAACAGTATATACAACAGCGAAGTAGATTCAATTATTAAAGAAAGAGAAGTAACATGTTTCATAGCACGAAATGTGATACAAGAAGTATTCTGTGATTGGGTAGCTGCATTTAGACAATCGGATTCTTGGTTTATCGAAGGATTTTCAACAGTATATGGAGTTTATATTTGGGATAAGGTTATTGTTGTGCATTTTTATTGTAGTTGTGCATAAATGTAAATGTGAGAAGTAAAAAACCATATTATATATTTTTTTAAGTAAAAAAGTGTCAAATTTTTAGACATAGTTTGAAACGGTTTCAGTACCAATAATACTATTTATAGTTGTTTTACTTATAATGTTTTACTTATATTGAAAATATACGCAGTTTCATCCATTAAAAAAGCATAGAAACATATGATTATGTGTAGGAAATAATCTACATATATATTTTTTTTATTCCTGTGGTAGTACTACTTTAGTGTATTCGTTTTATCTGATTATTGAAATATCATCGCACTTTATATGATAAATATAATACATTTTTTTATTAGATACTTGCGCACTATACTTAAATAATCGTATAATCATTAAAACTGTTGATAGAGTTTAATAAAGTCAATTGTGGTCCAGACACGACGAAACGTTTTAAATTATGGAGAAACATTTAGTACATATGATTTTGGAATTCAAGAAGAATCGTTTACAGCTCTAAATTCAACCGTTAGGAAAATGTGGCGAGAAAAGGGTAAGGGAAATAAAATTTTCGAGTACATTTAATTAATCAATGGTCACAAAATAACAGCACCATGAGATAGTGGTATATATCTCTAGAATGTACTATAAAAAGTATGACAATTGTCAGTGGTATATGTATCATGTGTATTGTAGGCAAACATTTTTAAAATATGATATAAAGTACAGTTACACATTTTTATGTGTGGTAAAAAATATAACAGTATTTTATGTAGTTATTACTTACTACTACATATTATTTATTATACATAGATTTGTTACTAAATTTCGAAAACTTTTACACTTTAAACTTTCTTGTAGCATTCGGCATCTTTTATATGGTCAGTACCTTCATTAAACAAGATTTCTTATATACTTCTATGTTTAAACAGGTCGTAAACTTATATTATAACACGTAAGTATTTATCAATCATTGGAGTACAAAGTAGTGCGACATTTTTTAGTTAAACAATTTTTGCATTAATCGCGAAGTCATTATAACAATCTTAAATATGTTTTTTTGAGATTTACTACGAGCATTACGTTTATGTTTTGTATTACGATATTTGTTGTCAGTGATAATACAACAGATAAGATACATAATGAACAGCCAATTTTCGATAAGATATGGTACGGAAATTATAAAGCATCTTTCTTATATAAGTCTGCCTACATTGCGACAGATATAAAAAAATTAATAACTTCTTGGACAACACAATTTGGTTATCCTGTGTTACAAGTAAACCGACACAATGATACACAGGTAGCAATATCTGTCATAGACTGTTTTACTATTGATCACAAAAAGCAGTGCGAACTTAATTGGTGGATACCTGTGTCTGTTACAAAAATAATACAGAAAGAAAGTACTGTTACGTATATTGATGTTTTAACACCTTCCAAAAAATACATCCGTCCATTCCTGAGTAATAAAAATGAGTTTATCATTGTCGCGGATTCCGCTGGTAATGTAATAACATACATGTGAATTATCAAGTATCTCTTTATTATACATATAGTGTATTAAAATATTCATTAGTTTTGTAGAGTAATTGTTTCTTTTTCTTTGTTTCTCACTATCAGTATTTTTAAACCTTCATTTTTTGTAGGTTATCGCGTCAACTATGACCGTGAATCTTGGACGAACATTGCTTTTTCCTTACAAACTGGTGATCTGAAGATTACAGATTTAAATGATGTCACTGTAGCACAAATATTAGACGATGCTTTCTATTTTTTGGTGCAAAATACAGAATATAACGACAATTCTACTTCAGATAATAGTGATCTAAACATATATCTTGAAATTGCAAGCAGTATATTTCGTGGACACAATTCCTACATAATGTGGTATCCTGTATATTTTGCTCTTGAAAACATGTCGAAGATTTTTCCTTTTCCAGAAAGTGTTCTTTCCAGATCTATCAAGGTACATAGTATTACAGTACATTAAAAAATTAAATAATTGATAGATCATCATTAATCACTTGTGAAAAAGTTTATTAGCTTACTTATAAAATATATACATATTACGGATTGTTTATATAAATAATTCGCATTAGTGCTACTTTAGTCGATAACATAAACAATATATATTTTAGAGTAATTATACTTAAATAATATGTAGTAGAATCTTCCTTCATACTAAAAAATAACTACCATGTTGTAGTATCTACTAGATTGACCATACAAAACATTGTACATATAAAAAACTGACTTTAGACAAGCGCAGTATTATAGTTTAAAAAATAACATATACAATATATGTAAGTGCTCACCAATAGTCACACTTCATGTAAAAGTAGCTCACAAAAGTCAAATAATATCAATAGAGTACAAAAATATGCATGAGGTCACAAAATTATTAATTTACTATCGTTTTCACCGTTTGTTCTCGTAAATCACACATCTGAAAAAATGCATGAATAAATGGAAATCTTGTTTAATGAACGACAAAATCTTCACTTTTGGTATACGATACTTTTAGGTAGAAGTATGAATTCAATTAAAAGACCATTGCATAAAGCTGCAAAATAAAAAACTTCAGTAAAATTTTCAAAGAAGTGATTCTTTTCTTAAAACTTGCCCATTGTAATTTGTCAGAATATTGCAGAGAAAGTAAATTTAAAGATTTACAAGTTTCTTCGAATAATAGAATATTGCTAACATTGTTTTGCAATTTATATTCTTAGTGCTCAGTATACTTTTTCTTTTTAAAGAACCTACGAAGAAAGCTCTGTAATTTCTTGAATTACAAATGTATGTTTATATGTATATAAAAATGTATTGTTTACATGAAATTAGATTATTTGTAGTTTTGACAGATTATATGATACAGTTCAGAGAATATGATATACGTGTGCTATGTAGAACAACAAATAGTATTTTATATTTGTGGGTAAAAAGATGTTTTTAAAAAAAGTATAAGCAATAGATAGATATAGAAAATGAAAAAAGAATTCTGTAATCTGTACAAACATACATATAATTTAGAAAAAAATAAACACGGATGTTCTATAATAATATGTGTGTCACAAATAGTATAATATAACATTTCTTAGAAGCAATAAGGAATACAAAACTATCGTTAAATAATGAAATAGTAAGAAATTTTAAGCATTTACACAAGATATGTTACTAAAAAACATATCCTGCTTTTATAGGATAAACTTTTGGCAACATTGAATAGGTTTCTTGATAATAAATCATATACACATTGGTCGGAGAATAGTGTCAGTAATCAATTCTATCATGAAGTTTTAAAATGGACATGCATTCTCGGTGGTTCAATGTGCAAAGAACATGTTAATCGAATGTTAGAGTGGCATTTTAATAATCCTGCGCAAAACAAGTACGTTATTTTACTTTTTCAATGGCAAGGTGACGTCCGTATTTGTTACAAAAACGTCTTCTTGCTACTAATTTTATATTTTTTGTTCTTGCGTCTTTGACATGTGATTTAATACACTTTTACGCTTAAAGAAAATCTATGGAATAGCATTAATGAATTAGTTTGTAAATAGTGTTATAAGTATATGTTTAAAGAAAATAATATGGTTTTTTACTTGCAGACTTTTGCCAAGTTGGCAGAAATGGATATATTGCCAAGGATTAATGTTAGAAACTGTCACTTATGATAAATCTGCTTTGTGGCAAAAAATTTTCAACATATACCAGACACAAGGAAAAGAAGAAGATTTCTTTGAATTTTTACCTTGCTATAGAAATCACGAGAATTTATATACTTTCCTGTCTTTTCTTGATCGTAATTCGTTACCAAGACCTGGAAGTAGTTTACNTGCCAAAAACAGTGATAGTGATAATATTGTACATGCAAAAAAAAGTGTTACTGTTAGTTTACTTTTCACTATTTTTGCTTTACAGTCAAAAACTTATTTAGGGCTATTTAGTGTACAATTCGGTCTACAATTTGGAATAGGAAGGTAAAATGATTGTTGTAGAAGAAATTGTATACAGTCCATTTCATACAAAGCTTCATACAGTAAATTTCATACGAATATTACTTTTTCATAATATGCATATTTTTTTCCATTACCTTTTCTGTTTCGGATGAAACAGTGTTATTTTGTAATAACCTCACGTTATTTTGTATTAGTAAGTTTACATATTAATGGTACATCTGTTATTTTGTTTCGATAGAGACGAGAACATCCTAGCAATAATAAATTGTATTATTAACAACATATATTCCGATGACGACCTGTCGATGGTATGATATATGATCTTTCTTCTTTCTTGTAGATAAATATGTAAATCAAAATTTTTTTTTATTATATATATGTATATATACGTATGTAATTATACGTGTAAAAATGTGTAGTTCTGTTGTAGATTTTATATTTGTAATTTCTTTGATATAAGAAACAAATACCTAATATGTAATAAGTGAATAGTAATACACAATATAAGTAAATCGCACTACTTGACGAACGAACATGATTTTTTCAGATTACTAACGAAGTGTTCTTAAATAAACTGTCGGATATACATTACGTGGTAAATGTATGTATAAATTATGTAACGTATTATTTTAATTTAAATCAGTACAATTGAAGACAGTATATATCAAATACTATTATATTTATTATTTTTATAATAAATACGCACATAAGTGTGCGTTACATTTTTTGCTTTTTTTCAGAAATAGCTTATTTTATATATGTAAACTAGTAGGTTTTTGTTATATTTATTAGAAGTATAGTTTTGTGTAGATCTTAATCAAAATTATGCTGAAGTACATAGAATTTTATAGTAAGTACATTTTGTAATCTGTTTTAGGATCCACGTGTTCTCGATGCCATTAAAACCAAAGTTGAAAAACGTCGTAGTTTCCTAAGTGAAATGCGAACTATAATTCGTTTTAGACCCCAGTATGTTTTTACTTACAATTATATGAAGAAAATTGTCTTTTTATGATGTATTTTTTTTGCATGTAAGCAACTGATTTTTGATACAAGAGTTTACTATGTAGTTATCCACTTTTTTATCTATTTTCTGTTTAAATGAGTTTTAATTTATGATAACAATCACTGCTGATTACGATTAAAATCGAAAATACATACACTTTTCGGATTTTAATGTGTAATAAATTTGTTGATTATAAACTTAACTCGTTTTTTCATTACAATATATTACATGTATACACGCGAGTCGATACGTATGTGTATATTTATGTATAGTGTACGTAAATATATGAATACATATCACACACGCTAAATAAACTCATAGTATTTAAATATGTAAATGTATAACATTAAAAGAAGAATTTATATTATGTAAGATTGTTTAGTGTTTTATGAGTATTCATGTGTTAATTAATCATTTGTAGTTATAAACTGTTAAGCGATAAGTTATAGGCTATTATGTGTGTTCACCAAAAGATATTTATTTAAATTAAGTTTAATACAAATACATTTGATGATGCATTACAAGGTTTTTATTATTCTACCTTCTTCTTAATTTTATGCTTTATGTTATTAAATGTAATATGTTTACGTGTAAACACACTTATATACATGTATTTGCATCTTACATTGCGTTTGCGTCCTGCCGATTTTCTTCATATAACTATCAATTAAACGCAAGTATGTGATTATGTTACTCTGCAAATGTTTCTTATGTATGCAAAGTGTAGCAGAGAAAAGCTAGAAAACAACTCTTTTAGTGTACTTTCTTTGAGCCAAACAACGGATTTTTGCATAACGCATAAACAAAATCAAATCACTCAAAGTTTTCTACTTTTATTTCTCGGTCTAGTGCCGAGTGATGGATATACTTATGTGTTATGCAGTATGCAAAAGTATGGTCTTCAACTTATTATGGCACAAGATTGATTATTCAGAAAAGATAGTTACAGTATTGAATCAAAGTTCCACGATAAGAGCGATTTTTTTAATGCATAAGCAAACGACAAAAGTACTTACCAACGGAAGACACTTTATGTTTAATGTGCAAAGAAACATTTCTAACGTAACCCGATGACAAACTTAACTTTACTTTCCAATCAATCTGGAACTTTTTTTGATGTAGCTTTGCCGTTGTTGTTCTTTGCACGAAGCTATTTTTCTTTGTTTAACATGTTTACTTTGCTTCACTTTTAAAATCTATCATTTCGGCCAGACTTGTCTGAAATATTGTAAAATGTATGTTGTGTGTGTGGTTTTGCATAATCTTACTTGTATAATGTATACAAAGCGAATTTCTTAAGTTGTTTATTTTCATAATAGGTACGTTTATTTTAATATATATTTTCCCCCCTCATACCTCCTCAATCTAACAAAGAAGGGCCGAGTATTGGCGGTGTTTTACTTTAAGATTTTGATAGTAAGACAGCTCTGAACAATTTACTGTAGCGTAATAATTTCTGAGTATTAAGTTCAGTTTAATTGACACAAACACAGGGTAATCGATGATGTAAAAAACAGAAAGAATAAAGATACCACGGACTAGTTAATCAGTGATAACTGTGTGTGTGTGTGTGTGTGTAGATAGTTTTGGTATCCAGTTTCACTGAAAAAAATAAGACTTTCGAGAAATGTCGTCCAAAGTTACAGTTCCTATAAAAAACTATATGTTTCCAAAAACGACAGGTGTGGTGCACAATCAAAAAAGTTCAATATATTGACTCTAAAGTTTTTATGTACAAAGGGGTATGGTCGAATCAGATTTTGTTTGAAATTGCTGTATTGTAGTCGTAGTCAAATTCCATACAGCAGTCAACTGATATCTCACGCGACGTCCTATCAACGATCTTGTAAACAGGTGTTCGCACTCAGCCGTACGCAAATATCATTTTGCGTATTGAAAGCAGTCCCACGATTTTCAAATTAACACGACTTATTGCTCGCAAATATAAGAAATTCGCTCCATCATCGAACGAGTCTCCGATAGCACGCAGATATTTCTTCTTGTACTTATGATAAAATAAAACAATATCTGTATATGTTACATTATATTATTATACGAATTTGTACGTTTAAACCGTGAAAGACATTTAAAACCGTTACTTCTATCATCATATATGTACGTAGAAGAGAACAAAATAAGGTCAATTTTCTCAACACACATATTTACCTCGTGACATGTAGATATTATTCCACAAGAACGATCGGTTCTTAGTTTTCGAGGATTTCTCGAAGAGTTAAGATCGCGCAAACGATACGTTTTTGATTTTGTGTACTAGTAGTTCGCAATAATATTCATATGAGATTTATGTTTTGCCGCCTTCGATTCTATATAGAAAATGGTAAGACTTTATTTCTTTTTAGTAGTTTTTCGAAACGTTCAGCTGTTGTAAAATATGATTTTTTTCTGTCTTTTACCGTATCCGAATATCGGACAGTAAATATCATTAACCATAGATTTATTATTTGAAAAGCGTATTATACTATTTTTGTGATAAAGAAGCAAAGAAGCAATTACTAAACTTTTACGCTTTACTTTTCTTTAAATATGGTAAATACTCCATACCATATTGATTCAATTTCTTAAGATGTTTAGTGTTTGATGGTATACACAGATTATAATTTCAAACGCGCTAAAAACTAACGTAAATACTTTTATCAGTCACTATTTCTTAATTTTGTTTGTTAAAATAATATCAAAGTTTTTGAAAAACGTGTAGTACTTAGTCTACGTACTTGTGTTCCTTATATGCTGTTTTCTTATTCGTCATTTTATATGTCGGATTGAAACACCACAATCTTGACAAATATTGTGATGTGTATGTGTGATAAAAGTAAGAGATTATTGATATAAACATACTTATTTATATCTCGTCCTTCAGTTACACATTTATAAATGCTGTTTTTGTATTTGATACTGCAAAGATCTGTAGTTTTATACTAAAGTTGCGTAACAATTTTGTTTTACTGTGTATCTGTATCTTTTGTTTAACAAGCAAAATAATTTTGTAGATACGCATTACGCAAATGCTTATATTTTTCGGAGCAATATACTTAATATCTGTCCGCGGAGGTGCATCTTCCACTGATGAAAATT